CGGTGTCCAGAAAGCAAATGTTGCAACCTCAGAGCAGCGCAAGCTAGATCCATCCACGAAGACAAACCGGTGACCATGATCATCCGTTTCGAGCGTGCACTAGATCCAGACTGAACTCAAGTGGTGAACAGAGGTGGCATGGAGGGTGGAAAGAACCTCAACGCATGTTACGACCACTCGAAGGAAGGTGAAGGAGAGATAAAGCATCTGGTAGTTTATGATTGTAGATTTTCTTCACTCTTGTGCATGTACACTGCTCATGGGTCGTCGCCATAAAAATGTGTCATTAAATCGAAAAACAAGGAAATTGGAGGCCAGGTCCGGCTCCCGTCCTGAGGAACTCCTCCGCCGCAGCCTTCGAGCGTTCAAGTAAAACTTCTTCTTTTGCGACCCGCATATCCAGTAGACTACGACCGCTCGGACAGCTCAATAGGTCAAAAACTCGTCTTTCAGGCAGCCAAACTGAGCCAATGCGACAGCCACTGCCAGCAAGGGCGTGAAACAAACGCGAAAAGCTTCGCTATCGTGCAGTGTCGCAACATGAGGGCCGGCTTCCACTCCTGGTTCGTCGTAGGCACTGGGAGGTCATGCAGAATCACAAACTCTTTGGCCTTCATCAACTCGTGGCCTACATAGGTTTGGGAGTGTTCAAACAAGTGTTTTCGAACTTCGAGTTCAGGGCCTGACTGGAACAAGTCGAAGACTATTACTCAAGACTCAATGGTTTCAGTCTCAAATGCGCGCTCTGCCAACACCGACACAGGTGAGACGCACAATCCGAAGGGAAGTGAATACCCACTGGCAAAAGGAAGTGCAGACGTGGGACTTACCAGGCTTTGAAAGTCCACAGCTGCGGCAGAGAGACTGAGTCTGTAAAGATGGTCTGTATACTGCTCTGCAATGCAACAGCTGCACAAGCTTCTCCTCCGGATTTGAGCACACTGGACCTAGTGGCCAATTCATCACTGCACGTCCATTCTATCCGGTGATTGACACTGATTGCCTAGTCTACGGACTGCTGAGTTTGCTACACTGCTGTAGTTTGGTCTCTACCGTCTTCAAGAGCACAAAAGCGTGGGCGCTTCCGCCTAAAAAGCCATACAGTGCACTTCGTTCCTCACCATGGGTCTCTCATTGGGACGCACATGTCCTTCGACTCGCCAGCGACAGTGTCAGAGCCAAGCCAGCTCATAGTTGCAAGTCAGAACTGTGACCTTGCTTTTTTCTTTTCTTATTCCTGCCCGAAACTCAACCTTCGGATTTTGGAGTGAAGGTGGTGGATTTTGCAATGCGCGTCTAACCAAATGGGAGTGGAAGTGTTCCGCCTGCACAAGGCTTTCAGGCCATATTCAGCCAGCAGCCAGCTTCTTTTTCACCTGCTCCTTCTTGGAGCTTGATCTGAAAACGGCCGCAGACTCCTTCTTGTGCATTGTACACCGTTTCCGATTCTTTCTTGCATCACTTCTTGCTCGCCTGAGACAAATTTATCAGTACTCCGGTGTGACTACTTGTGCAATCCTTGTGGGTCCTTGCGATCTTCTCTCGAACTCATCTTCCCTCGCACTCTTGTTTACTGCTCTTCGTAGACTTCTTGCACTTCTTCATCAAGATACTTGCCTACAGCCTGGTGGGACCAATTTCTGTTCTTTGTCGTGCGTCGGGGATTTTGTGCCGCAGTGAAATCTGGGAATCTCTAAACAAGGCAGTGTTCAAGGCCCTCAACTTCAAGTTCGAACACCATAGTTGTCTTCGAACTTCTGTTTCGAACACTCAGTTTAACTTCCAGAACTCTGAGTTCAACATTGGAACTTCCAGCTCAAACTCCAGTTCGAACACTTTGGAGGCCAGTGTTCGAACCCGGCCGAGTTCGAACCTAGTGTTTAGCCTCCAGGTTCGAACACTGGTGTTTGACCAGTGCGTACAGGTTTGAACTTGGGGTTGAATTCTGTAACTCTTTTTGCCTTTCTTTACAAAAAGTCCTCTCTCTGGGTGTTCCAGCACTCCACTCTGTAGCAGCTACGAGGCTAGTTTCAAGACATAGGCTATTCGGTACTTGGAGGGCCGATTTTCGAGGGCTGGAGGCCGTAGGGTTCGCAGGGCTCTAAAGTGCTTGCAAAAACGGGCGCGCACCGCATCGGAGGCGCTTTGAGGGCGCGCCGTCGTGCTCCGGAGCTGTTTGGGGAGCGACGCGCGCTTACGCGCGCTATGTTCGGCGCGGAGGGCGTGGTAAGCTCTTGGGAAGGTGGCATGGTAAGCTGCTCGGAAGGCTGCATGGTAAGCTGCTCGGAAGGCTGCGTGGTAAGCTGCTCGGAAGGCTGCGTGGTAAGCTCTTGGGAAGGTGGCATGGTAAGCTGCTCGGAAGGCTGCATGGTAAGCTGCTCGGAAGGCTGCGTGGTAAGCTGCTCGGAAGGCTGCGTGGTAAGCTGCTGGGAAGGCGGCCGGGTAAGCTGTTCGGAAGTCCCTCGTGAATTGCGAGCAAGCAGCTTGTGAGTTGCGAGCAAGCAGCTTGTGAGTTGCCGGCAAAGCTGCTGGCGAGTGCTCGTAAGTTGCCAGCAAGCAGCTCCTAAGCTGCTGGCGAGCACTCGTCAGCTGCTGGCAGGTAGCGCGCCCCTAAAGTTCTTCTAAAGCCCGTTTTGCAAAGACTTTAGAGCCCCTAAGATCGCTCGAGCTGCGGGCCGTAGGCCTGCGAATCGACAGTGCTCGAAAGTACCGAATTCTGACCTATGTCTTGAACTAAGGCTTGTAGCTACCACAGAGTGGAGTGCTGGAACACCCTCCCCAGAGAGAGCAAAAATAGAACTTATTCCTTATTTCCTAGCCCGAAGAGCCGACTGACAAAACTGACAAAACTGACAACCCTTTTCCCGGGGTCCGAAGGTTTATGCTCTGCCGCGATGCCTGGCAGGTCTGCAAGAACGTCTCACGCAGGCAGCGGAAAGCCGGCCTCTCTCAGCTTTTCGCGGTGCTGCTCCGTCGCCCGAGCATAGGCTTGTGGAACATAAGCTGCGAGTGCCCACATGCTGCCCTCGTGCGGTTCCACCATGTGATACCGGCGAGCATCGAAGCTGACTGGCTTGTCGTGCATGTTCAGCCACCGACCACGCAGCTCCCGGTCGCCCTTCTTGCCGGCGAGCACGGCTGGGGAGTCCCCTTCATCATCTTCGATCCACACCCGCCCTCCTGTGTAATCACCGAGAGCCAAAGCATGATTCAAGTGCCCGGGCATGTTCTGAATGTCGCGGTGCAGCCCCATGCGCGGGTTGAAGAGCACGGCGATGGAGGTCCAGGTGCCGCTCGGAAAGCGGCTCTTGAGAAAGCCGTTGACGGCTGCGCAGGCCTCCCGCAGCCCGGTGGCATTGGACACCCCGACCACCCCGCCGTGCCCGAAAAGCCCCAGCGTGGCGTACCGCTCATAGGCCCCCGGCCCCACCGCCCGAGTGCGCCCCCGGTGCTTCCAGTCCGCCGACCACAGATCCAGCAGTCGCACGAGATTGGCTTCGGCGGGCTCCTCCGTGGCGTTCCGGCACGCCAAATCCATTTTTTACATTGCCGGCATTTATCACTCCAAACACGCATGCCTCTAAAACACCATGCCGCACCCTAATTTTTTTGGATTTTGAAGCCGCCCCGGGAGGGTGCGCCCCGACGGCCCTCGGCAGCCGGCCGTTTTGCGAGCCGACCACGCACCGGCGAGAGCCCGATTTCGGTGTGCGCCCCGCCTAGGTTTTGAGCACGATTTCGGCCAGATCGGCCCTTCCCTGTCAAATCGGTGCCGGCAAGCCACGGAACGTGGTGTGGGAGGGTTTAGGATGGGTCGAACACAGCCACACGAAATCGCCGGGCATCACGGAACCGCCGCGGCCCCGATCTTCGGGGTGCGCCCTGCCTATGTTTCACACACCCTGCCGGGCCCGCCGGCCAAAAGCGACACAGCCAGCCTCGGGAAGGCCCGTGCGTGACACAAAAGGCTTTGCCGGGCCGTTTCCCACCAGACTGTGGCGGGAGCGCGATTTTCGGTGGGTACGTCCCCTAGGTTTGGCTCAAGTTTTCGTGGCCTCGGCCGCTCAGTGTCGATTGGCGGCGAGCTTGTGGCTATCGCCGACCTGATCCGTGGGGGTTTAGGATGCTCACCGATGCTCGCCTTTGTTCACTGTTGCCTTTTTGTTTTTTGATTTGTAGTGGTATTCTAGCTAGGCTCGCCGACTTTTGCAGTAACATTTTCCTAGAGTGCTTTCGCCGGGGTTGCTTTTGGTTTGGTTCAGGGCACCCGAACCCCTTCGGCCCCAGCAGTAGGTTTTGATCCCCGCGTCACTTCGCCACAGGTGCAGTGCTTGGCGGAAACATGGAACCGAGTGATTGCACACACACATGTCATTCACAGGTGCCGTGCTTGACGGAAACATGGAACCGAGTGATTGCACGCACATGTCATGAGTCTTTTGCTGCGCTCGTTTTTCGTTTCAAGCTCGTAGGGGCGGGGGGGCAGGGGCTTCGGGTGGGCGGGCTTGTGTCGCTGGGCCCTCAGAGTGCAGTTTGGTCCGTTGCTGCGTTAGGTCGGAGTGTTGCTAGACTCATGCTCCCGCAGTGTCGCCCTTGCCCCGTAGGCCTCCCACACTGCCTTTCCCCTCGCCCAGGTCCGGACTCCGGACTTCTTCTTGCCCGGTGCCGATCCTCAGAGTGCTTGCCAGGGGTTCTTGTGTTGGAAGGGTTTCGGGTTTGCGCGAGTGTGAGTGCCCTTGCCCCCGCCCCGCCCGTAACTAGAGTGCCCTGCAGCCCGCCTCGTCCCGGAAACCCCGGGCCCCTCGTCGCCGCTCTCAGGTGTCAACGGCCATCGGCTGCGGCGGCCTCTTCATCTCTCGCCTGGACCCTGGACGTTTGCATCTGAAGCCGCGGCTGAGTGTGAGGGGTTTTGGTTGCCTGCAGGGTAGGTGCACCTCTTTACAAGCAGTTGCCGAAGCCTTTGCTGATTCGAGCCCTTGGGTGTCCGTAGTGCTGCGGTCATGCCATCTGACGTGCAGACGGTCCTCCTCCTCGTGTGGGGCTTATACTGGCCGCACCATCGGCATTTTGTGGAGGATATGGAGCCGCTGCTGAGTACTGGCTGGCATGGCTATCAGCTTTACGAGCAGTGGGCTGACGTCATTTACCGACTCGTGATGCTGAACTTCTTGGAGGCCGATGTCTTGATGCGTGCCCGCATCCAGCTGCAAAGGGCCGGGAGGTTGTACGCGAGCAGATACGCGGTGCGGCTTCGCGATCAATGCAGGATCGCCGCTCAAGTATTGGACCGCGACCCGGACGACCGCCTCGAGGGGTTCCAATGGTTGTGCGAAGCGAGCAACCCTCGCCTGAACGAGAGCTTCTTGCATGCCAGTCGGGTTTCCGCAGCAGCCAGTTTTGTCATCGAGCGCGGCGCTTCTGGGAGGCTGCAGGCTGGAGAGGATGCTCTGTACGATCGGGTCATGCAGGAGACTGAGCGGCTCCGAACCGACGACGACATGGACCCTTTTGATGATATCAATTTCCGCTCTTAAGCCCTGCTTACAGAACAGCAGGCCCTTGGGTGCAAAAAAAGTCCATGCTGGATCCCTGCCCGTAGAGCTCGTGCAAAATAATCTGCAATCCTCGCTCCTTCCTCGCTCTTCCCAGGCCCGGGCCCCTTCCTTCCCTCCCAGGTCCGTCCTCTTCGCTGGTTCGTCGCTGCTTGGCACCGCATCGCCTGGAGCCGAGAGTTGAAGCCGTGAGGTTCAGTCTTGCTGTTGCCGTGCGAGCGCCCTTCTTAGCGCATTTTGCGCTCAAGTGTTGCTAGTTTTCAGAGCGGTGCGGAGCATGTCGGCGGCGGCTCGGGAAGCAGCCCTATCCCTGGTGCTGGCCACGGTTGGCTCTGATGACGATTGGAAGCTTGGATTCAGGGTGTGGCCTGATCAGAGTCCGGAGAACTGCCATCGGCGAATGATGTCGTTGGTCCATCCCGACAAGAACGACAACGGCGACAGGAGCGCCGATGCTTCGAAACGACTCCAGGCCATTTGGGAGCGCTTTTCGGGCTGGGTTCCGACTTTGCGGCAATCTACGGTAAAAGCCTGTCGTCGGCGCCCCCTGAATGACTTCGAGAAGACTCTTCGAGATGCTCTTCAGCAGGCGGGCCCGGGCCCCTTTTTGAACGACTCGTTCGTTTTTCTTGCGCCTGCAGGAGGCTTCGCGGACTGGTGGGCCGAAGCGCGGACCTCCTTCCGATGCCAGTGCCGAGGCCGGGGGTCAAACGCATCAAACACATCAAATCCATCAAATCTGTCGGCAGGCTCGTGGAGCACCAGCTGCCCCGACTTCGGAGCAACAGGCCCGACTCCGCGTCCCATCAAAAGCATCAAATATATCAAACTGCGGTTCAGGCCCCGGACCCTTCGACCGGACCGTCGAGCGCTCCTTCCCGAACCCAGGCCGGGGGTCAAGCACATCAAAAGCATCAAATAGATCACATCCTGTCAGGACTCTGCTTCAGCGCCTCCCGGCACCGAGGCTCCTCCAACGGAGGCGCTGCTTGGGCGTTTGATGCCTTTGATGGTTTTGATGCCCCCCCGCCAGGCTCCTGGTCCCGGACCGTCGAGTGCTCTTTCTGGTGCCGAGGCCGGGGTCAAGCGCATCAAAAGCATCAAATAGATCAAATCCTATCAGGACTCTGCTTCAGTACCTCCCGGCGCCGATGCTCCTCCGACCGAGGCCCTGCTTGGGCGTTTGACGCATTTGATGGGTTTGATGCCCCCCGCCAGGCTCCTGCTGGCTCATCGTCTTCGAGCGCTCCGCCGGCATCGCACCACGAGGCCGGCGCCCTTCTTTTACCGGATTTGTCGACGGGGTTGCACCTCGCAGGACACTGGCTTCATGGACCACGAGGCGCGGTTCTGCGCCTGGAACCGGGTGCCCGGTTCGTTGTGCTTGCCGTCAGGACCCCGACATGTACGGCGAGAGCCCCTTCGGCTCGGCCCCGGCGGCCGGACCTGCCGGTGCACATGCTTCCGGCTCTGCTGAAGCCCCTGCTGGCTCGACCGAGGGCGATGCTGCGAGTGCGGCCGGCTCTGCTGAAGCCCCTGCTGGCTCGACCGAGGCTTCTTCCGGGTCCCCTTCGGAGGATGACTTTCACGAGGGCGACGAGGGCCAGCCCACGGACTTTCCGCCCAAGCAGACTCGGCCCAGCTCTCTGAGGACCCGCTGGGAACCCGTCAATGTGCAGTCGCTGGACGAAGCACTCGGCAAAGACGCCGTGAGACGCTTCACCGCATTCAGCCTGTACGAGGTGCTCTGGTCGATCAGGGTCCGAGTCCGCTCCATCAAGGGCAAGATCGGCTGGATCTTCGTGGCGGAGCAGGATGGCGATGCCCCCCCGGGCATGAAGGCTCGGCAATACAGCGGCGTGGTTCTGCCCCCTCTCGTCAAAGAGGCCGCTCCATCCAAAAAGAGGAAGGCTGGCGCGAAAGAGGCGGACCCAAACGAAGCCCGGCACAAGCTCATCGCTAGCCTGCCGCCGCAGTTGCGCCAGGAGCTGCAGCTAGGCGTTCCCGACTGCCTCGTCGGCAAGAGCTGTTTCGCTTTCCCGAAGCTTGTGCGCTACATAGCACGCAAGGACATGGACCTCGTGGAGGTTGACGCCGTCAATGCGTACTTTCAGCACCTGGCTCGCGGCTTTCCCGCTTCGACCCCACTCCAGAACTACGTGGGGCACCGTGATGAGGTGCTCGGGCGGATCCGCCAGGCTTTTGGAGTCGATCGCGACCAAGCCAAACGCCTCGTGATCGCTCTGGGGTTCGGCGGCTCGCTGAGCAACTGGTGCTCCGAGACCCTCGGCTACATCCCGGAGGACGATGACCCCCAGGTCGGCGAGTGCTTCAGGGAGATGCAGGATTTCGAGGCGGCGATGAGGGAGATCCATCGCCAGGTCGTCGGAGCCATGACGCCGGCTCAGAAGGAGCATCTCCGCGGGCGCTCTTGGGGTGGGGCGTGCTTCTTCGACTACCAGAACGCAGAGCGAGCGCTGCTGGACGTGATGATGGCCTCTGCAGGGAAGGATTTGGTGTCCGGCGAGCACGACGGGGTGTGCGTCGTGCGACAGGCCGCACAGCGTATCCAGGAGGCCGCCCAGGCCGTGATGTGGGAGGTGGCGACCAAGCCGCTGCCGTCGCCTTGGGAGTTCGCTGCCCGGGAATACCCGATGTTCGACTGGGACGTGACGGCCCGCATGCCCTTCCGGAAGTTCCACGAGCTGCGCGGCACGGTCATCGACCATGCCGCGCAGGGCGAATCGGAGGTGCGAGCCAACACCGCGGACGTCGTCCGCTACGTGGCCGAGGTCCTGCGCGAGACCGTCAACGTGCCGAACAAGCCGGACGAGCGAACCAGCTCATACGAGTTCTTCACGAGCCAGGGGTTTTGGGTGGAACGACACATCGACTGCTTGCAGAAGCAGATCCAGGAGGTGCTTCGTCAAATCGGCCGCCACCCTCTTGCTTGGGAGGAGCCCCGGCCGCTGAAGCCTTTCAATCGCGTGGACTTCGCCCACAGCCTGGGGTCCGCCGTTTTGGCTCAGCTGGCGGAGCGCACGATGCCCTCCCTGGACGGCGCGCGCATCAACGGCCTCCTCCTGTGCAGCGACGGCTACATCCTGGACTTCAACGAGGGGGCCGCCCAGAAGCGCCGGCGAGCCAGGCCTTCGGATCGGCTGGGATTCATTGCCAAGGCCCTCTCCAAGATCTGGCAGCCCAAGAACCCCAGCGGCCTTGGCCGGCTTGTGCGAGATTTCCTGGAAAGCAAGGCCAAGACCCTGGAGCAGAACGAGGCCGGGAGAAAGGTCATCGAGGAGTTTGAGCGGCTCCTGCATGAGGAGAAGTGTGAAGTCCTCTCCATCCTGAAGAACTACGCGATCCTGCGGGAGAAGGTGGACGGCGTGGTGACGGAGACGATCGACTGGAACTGGGTCCTTTGGGTGCTGCGCTTCATCAGTCGCTGCATCCTTGGCGAGGAGCACCTCTGCGAGATGTTGTACCTTTGGGGCGGCGGCAGCTCCGGCAAGGACGTTCTGAACCTCCTGATCTTCGCCGTGCTGGGCTTGGGGGCCGAAAACCTGGGGGTCATGCTGCCCGGGCGCTACCTGGTCGCCGGCGGCCAGTCGGCCAACGAGAACGCCAGCCCGCTGCTGGCGCGCATGGAGCGCAAGAGGGCCGTGTGGGTGAGCGAAGTTCCGCACCACACCCACTTGAACGAGGAGTTCGTCAAGCCCTTCTGCGAGCAGGGCGGCGCTCCGGTTCCAGCTCGCCGACTCAACAAAGCGCCGCGTGACTTTGTCCCTACATCCGTGCTCCTGGCTACCTCCAATCATCCGGCGCAAGTGGAGCGGAAGTCCATGACGGAGGACAACGGGTGGGACAGGCGCCTGCGGCTCCTGGAGACGAAAGTCAAGTTCACGGCCAAGAATGAGGACCTGGAGTGCAACGAGATGAAGGCCGACGACAACCTCAAGGCCCGCGTGAACCTCGGTCACTACAACGCCTCCCTGCTGTTCCTCGTAGGCGAGCTCTACCCGACCTTGAAGCCCCGCTACAACGAAGGCACGGAGTTGGTCCCGAAACCCGCGTGCATGGAGGAAGCTGAGAAGGAGTTCGCAGCCAAGCAGGCGGGCACCCAGTTCAAGGAGTTCGTCAAGGACCGCTGCGTGCGGGTGGAGCAGAAGGTCGCTGCCTCCTTGTTCACGGACTTCTGTAAGGAGCTTAAGAGCTACCTGGGTGATTTCATGCAGATGGCCGAGGTCAGGAAGCTTGCCAAGGAGAACGGCTTCGCGTCCTCCTCTAACGGCTCCGAGCGGGCGGGTGGTCATCAATGTCGACGGCCCCTGGCGGCTCAAGACGCAGGAGGAGCTCAAGGCGGAGCTGGAGGCCCAGCAGGCGAGGAGGGCCGCCGAGACTTTCTTCGCCCCCCAGCCGTAGCTGCCGTGAGATTCTGAATTCATGCTTGGGCAGCGGCTTTGCCGCGGAAGCAGCATTTTCCTGCTGCACTTCTGCCAGATGGCGAGAGCTGCCGTACCCCGCCCGTAGCTATGAAGGCTTTTCCACGGGCTTTTATTCCTTTGCGGTGCTCCCTACAGGGCAAAAGGCCTTTGGAAGCTGTAGAGGTGTTTCGAGCATGTGCGAGTTCCCCCCTGTGTACAACAGGCGCAGTTTCGGGCTCGCGAGCTCCCGCTGTACAGTACAGAACCTCTGGATGGGAGGTGTTTCCCGATGCTGATCAAGCGTCGATCACATACCAGTTTAGGGCTGTGAAAACATTGTGGAGTCTCTCTTGAGCCGTTGTGCGTGTGTGCACTGTTTGAGCCTGTGTGCTGCTCAGGTCCGGGTGCTGAACGAGGCCTCCCCCCTGCCTTGCGTCGTTGCTCGTAGGATGGCATGCGGCTAAGCCAAGGACCGCAGTTGTTTGTGCGTCTTGCCGGGAGAAGTGTTGTGCCAGCTCAGCTTCGATTCCGGGCAGGCCCCGAGGTCAACTCGACTCGCCGGCCCAGGCCCGGAGGACTGTCAGTTTTGTCAGTTCTGTCAGGTCGCATGCTTGGCCAGTTTTGCTGCAACGAAAGCCCGAAATCCCCACCCAAGCCGCGTCTCACATACCTGACAGACCTGACAACCCACTGTCAGGTCCCTCCCTGAAGACTCGCATTGCCGCGCCGGGGTCCCGGAAGCAGTTGTCAGGTTTGTCAGGTTCGTCAGCTTGGACGTTTGAAGCGTTTTTTGTAGATAATCTGCACCAAAAGAACCCAGAGGAGCCGACTGACAAAACTGACAAGACTGACAAGCCTTTTCCCGGCTCCCGGGAAACAAGTCACTTGCCCCGATTCCAGGCTGGTCCTCGGCTTTCGCTCGATGCACGAGGCCAGGCTGGAGGACTGTCAGTTTTGTCAGTTCTGTCAGGTCGCATGCTTGGCCAGTTTTGCTGTAATAAGTGCTTAAATCCCCCATTCAAGCCCGCCTGACGGACCTGACAAACCTGATACCCCCACTGTCAGGTCCCTTTCTGAAGACTCGCATTGTCGTGCCGGGTTCCGGGGAGCACTTGTCAGTTCTGTCAGGTCTGTCAGCTTGCGCGTTTGAAGCGTTTTTGTAGACAATCTGCGCCAACAGAGCCCGGAGGAGCCGACTGACAAAACTGACAACCTGACAAGCCTTTTCCCGGGTCCCGGGAAACAAAAAGTCACGAGCCCCCATGCCCGGCAAGTCTACGGCGGCGCCGTGGGCCCGGGATTGAAATCTCTCAGCTGCCGCACCGCCAATTCCATCAATTTCATCAATCGGGTTGTGGTGGGTTTCTGTAGCGTTTTGGCACTCGTTTTGGACCCGCAGTCTCCGTAGGTGCCGTAGCAGTTTCTAGACTAATACGACTTTGGAGGTTCTCAACAACCGCCTCCCGGACGACGACGATCAGATCGTCCGGAGCCCAGGTCCCGTCGTGCTTAGCAGCCTTGTGCAGCCTTGTGCGCCGCATTGCACGTGCCTTGCGCGAGTTTTGTGCCTCTCTCGAGCCCCCCCTTGCAGCTCCCTGATCACGCACGATGCCGCTGGAGATGGTGTGCCGTTGGCGCCGCGCCGCGGACCGCGCCGCATGTGCGCCCAGGCGCTTCACGCAGTTGCACAGGGTGCCTTGGCTCCTGGTGCTGGACTTCTTGATCGAGGTGCCCACGGAGCTGGACGAGGCGGCCGCCATCGGCATGGAAAGCCTCGGACGGCTCAGCAACTGCAGCCGGCTGCTTCGCAGCTGCATCGACGACCGGGTTCTAGACTGCTTCTTCTCCGTGGTTCATCAGTCCCAGCTTTTCATGAGCACCCGCGCGGCCAGCCTGGGTCGTCATCCGAACCTCATCCTACGGGGACGAATATGGCAGGCCTACGAGGAATCCCGATGGGAGCGCGACGAGATGCACGTCACTCTCGGCGAGCAGATCCAGGACCAGCAGGAGCGACTCCGCGAGCTTGGGGAGTGCATGCTTGAGGTCAGAGGCCCTCGATCAGCTCGACGACTTGTCGCTGAGACGGTGAGGGTTTTCCTGCAGCACGAACTGTTGGACGTCAACGTGCACTTGCGACTCCTGGAGAGAAGCTTAGCGTAGGGGGCTCAAGCCGGCGTTGAGCGCCGCGGCCTACAGGAGCCGCGGCGCCCAAAGAGCCAGCGTGTACAGGCTGGCGTCGCACCTGAGCCGTGCGATTTAAAAGTCCTTCTGCTGTTCTCTGCATGCATCGGCCTGTTCCGCGAGCTCACCCTGCAATCAGGTCGATTCGACATCTTCCAGGTTCGTGCGGTCTGCAGCCCCCGGTTTCCCCTAAGTCCCGAACCTCCTGGCCCGACCCTTCTAGAACCCTAGTCCCTACTAGGCTGCCCTGTGAGTGCCCTGCGAGTGCCCTGCGAGTGCCCTGCGTGTCGCGTGGGTTACCCTAAGTCCCGTGGCGCCCGAACCCCTAGAACCCTCTCTACTAGGCTGCCCTTGCATCCGCCCCTGCGTGTCGTGGACGGGAACGGGGAAGGCTTGAAGCTCCGGTCGGACCCAGAGGCTTTTTATTTATATAAATAAAAACTTCCGGGCTTCCCGGCTCCCGCAGATCCCGCCGAGGCGATCACGGCGGCGCCGTGGGCCCGGGATTGAAATCTCTAAGCTGCCGCACCGCCAGCGGCTCCCGCCGGCGAGTCAGCCGAGCTTTAGGCTCCGCGGAGCCGCGAGGCACCGGAAGCGCATGCTTCAGCAACGTCTCCGAACCGTCGGTGGCCCGCACCGTCATCGAATCAAAATTCGCAACCTCCCGCACCGCCCCGTACTGGGGCTGGAAGCTCCGCGCCACATTGGTGGGGGCCCGGAACGCCCCCGCCTCCTCGAGCCGCCGCTGACGGCTCCTCGTCAACTCATCGTTATGTTTGAACTTGGCCGCGTTATCCTGGTAGGCCCTGAACCCTGCGGCCGGCATCGTCTCCACATCCTCGGGCGCCACGGTCACCGCCGCGTGCGGCCGGGCGTTGTAGGCCTCCGTAGCTTCGTCCACGTGGTCGCCCCACCCACCGCCGTGTCGTGCCGCCTCGCCCGCCAAATCCTTTTTCAAAGTCTGAATCGCGCGGTCCACCACCGCGGTCGCATTGCGATCCGTCGGGTCCTTCTGCCGGTGCACCACGCCCCCCGGCAATGCCGCCTCAAGCCCCCGGAACTCGTTGCCCAGATCCGTGGTGACGACGTAATTCGACTCGTCCTGCACCAGCCGGGGGATGATCTCCGCCGCCGCCCGCGTCACCGTCGCGGCCGACTTGTCGGGCAGGGCCTTCGTGGCCATCTCGCGCGTGAACACATCAGTCACCACCAAGCCAAATTTGTTGGCTCCCCGAGTGTTCTGGCTGAAATCGATGAGGTCCGCTTGCAGGCGGTCGTTCGGCCCCTCCGCCGCACTCTTCCCCAGACTCCGCGGCTTCGGTGCGAGCACCTGCCGCGCCACGTCGCTGCGCAGGGCCGCCTGGGCCCGCGCACTCGTGAGGTCCCGCCGCTCCGGAAACTCCCGGCGGGCTATCTGGTAGAGCTTGCGGGGATCTCGCACGTTGAAGTCCCGGGCCAGCCGCCCGAGCAGCTCCATCGCGCCGTCCTCTGCCATTTCTAATCCGAGTCGCCCTTGCTCCCCTTTTTTTTTCAAGTTTCTCCACGCGCTTCTGCAGCTTCTTGACCACGCCCCACAGCACCACGCTGAGCTTCTGATAGTCCAAAGCCATCAGCTCCCGGCCGTCCAGGTTCTTGGTCTTGCACATCGTGGCGCCCAGCTTCCCGCTGGCCTGCACGTCCTGGGCCACGAAGCCGACTGCTCCTTGGCGCCCCCAATGCGGTCGTAGAGCTGCGGCTCCACGGCGTCGAAGGTCTCTTGCAGGTCCTCCTCCGGGATGGCTCGGACGTTCTCCTTGAGCGCCCGGTCGCTCAGATTCACGAAGCCGTAGCCGAAGATGACCTCTCCATCATTCGATCCCCCGATGTTGGGTTCGATGGCCAAATTCGCCAGGCCGTTGGTGGTGTTGAAACTCATGAACTGAAACAAGGTGAGCTGCACGCCACCCCCGGCCAGGGCCTTGAGCTCCGCCAAGCCGGTCTGATTGTTCGCGTCGAGGAGCAGCTGGGCATCGCCCGTCGGCGCTGCGTTCCGGATCACCGTGCCCACGGTGCCGTCCGGCGGCCCCACGGCGATTTGCTCCAGCAAGGGGGCGAGGACCTGCACGCCGCTGGTGCCCCCCGACAAGGACAGAAAGGGTAGCGACGCCTCGGGGGCCACGGCCCCGTTGACCCGCAGGGTGGCGTTCACCAGCACGCCCTGCGTTCCCCCTTCGATGCTGAGCCAGGGGTCCGCCGGGTCGCAGCGCACCAGGGGCGCTTCCAGGCGCAGGTTGCTCGCCACCTGCAGGTTCGCGGTGACGCTGCTGCTGGAGTTGAAGGTCCCCGTGGCCGCCGTGGAGCCCACGAAGAATCCGCGGTGGTCGCGTTCAGCGTCTTCGCCGCGTTGACGGTGATGTCCTGGTCCAGCGTGATCCCGGCGGCGGCGAAGGAGGCCAGGGGCGTGTTGTCGATGGCCCTCAGCACGATCGGCGTGCCCCGGAGCTCGGGGGTCACCACGAAGCTGGAGGCGGTGAGGCTGGTGCAGAAGATGTCGGCGGGGAGCGGGCTCGCCTCCAGGGCGGCCACCCGCCCGTCCAGCGCCGTGACCTGGGAGCCCAGCGAGTTGAAGGTGGCCGTCAAGGGGTAGCGCCCGTCGCTCTGGGCCTTGCTCCAGCAGTCCGCCTCGATCTCGATCACGCTGCTGTTGCCCAGGATCTGGGTGCCGGTGAGGGGCGCCCGGAAGAGCAGGCTGCGGATGATGTGGGGCGTGAACTGGTCCTGCACCAGGTGGAAGAGGCCGTTGCCCTCGGGCACCGAGGGGTTGTTGGGGAAGTACCTGGCGTCGAGCGGGCCGAAGTCGTTGTTTTGCAGGTAGCGCCCGTCCGATTGCGCCTTCGTGTAGGCGTCGCAGGTGAGCTCGAGTGTGGTGTCCGAGAGGATGGTGGAGGCTCCCAGGGGCGCCCGGGGCAGGAGGGCCTTGATCATGGGGGGCGTCACGTTGGTGCGCACCAGGGACTCGAAGCTGTTGTTTGCGTTGACCGCGAAGTAGCGCGTGTCGCCCTGTGCCTGGGTGAGGAAGCCGGCGCCGGCGATGGCGTCGTCGATCTCCGTCTGGGTGCGCCCCGACATCCAATATTGGGTCAGGGTGGCCGTGAGCTGGCTGTCCAGCTCCGTGCGGGGGTAGTAAGAGAGGAGCTCGTTGGCCACGTAGGCCTGCGTCCCGGCCTGGTCGTAGTAGCCCGACAGGTCCACGTTGCCCAGCGCGTTGGCTATCTCCTGATCCGTCTCTGCTCTAGTGTAGAAGTCAAGCAGGGCCGTGATGATCTTGTTGTCGACCTGGCTGCTGTTGTCGTAGCTCGACAGGGCCGAGGAGATGGCCGAGCTCACCTGGGCGCTGGTCTGGTAGTTCGTGAGCTCGCCGGCCACGAAGCTCGAGACCTCGCTTTGGTCCCAGTAGGGCACCAGCTCCCCGCGATCAGCGCCAGCACCTGGGCCTCCGTCCTGTACTGGGACAAGTTGAGCGCGTCGACGGCGGCCGTGATGACCGCTCCGGTTTCCACCTGCGTGTAGGTCTCGCTCCGGGCGTAGGAGTCCGACTCGATGAGGATCGTGTCATCCAGGTTCTGGAAGCTGGCGGTCAGGGCCCCCGCCACGGACAGGTTGCGTAGCACATTCGTGCCGCGGAGCAAATTGAAGGTCGGTCCGCCGTTCCAGGTTTGGCCGTTGCTCAGGGTCACGGGCACGAGCCCCGCCGCGATGGCGGCCTGCACTTGAGCTATCGTCCAGTAGGGGCTCAGGTCGATGGTGGCCAGCCCCGCCGCGATGGCTGCATTCATTGCAGCGGTGTCCGAGTAGGCCGCCAGTGCCGCAGCTATCGCCGCGTCTCGCTGGACGACGGTCCCGTAGCATCGGCGATGGCCTGGGTCAGTTGCAGCGTGGTGCTGTAGTCGGCCAGCTGGGTGTCGGTGTAGGTGTTGGCCGACGCAATCGCGGCCACGATGTTCGCCGTGGACTCCGCCCTGGTGAAGTAGTCGGCCAGAGCCGCCGTGATGGCGGAGTTTGTCTCCAGGGTCGTGTAGTAACCGCCGAGCTGGGCGAGCACCCAGGACTCGCTGGCCTTGGGCGCCAGCAAGGCGTCAGCCTCCGCCTTCGAGTAACTGTCCACGGAGAAGGACAGGGTCCAATTGTCATTCACCAGCTGGATGCTCAAAGGAGCGACGGCGTGATAATTGCGCACAGTATTTGTTCCGGCCAACGAATCCCAGGTAACGTTCCCGGGCCAGGCGGGAGCGTTGACAAGATTGGTGGCACCACCCAGGGTGGCGATCTCGGCCAGGAGCCCGTCGATGGCCTGACGGCCCTGCAAGTCTCCGCTGGTGGCGAAGGGCCCGGCGTTTTGCAGTGCCAGGATGGCCGCGTCCGCGGCGTCCAGCCGGGAGTCCTGCAGGGCCTGGCCGGCGTCGTAAGCGCCCTGGGTGACGTACCCGAGCAGCGCTGTGGTCAGGTCACCCGCGGTTTGGTAGCCGGCGCCCTGCAGAGCTGCAAGCAGCGCCTCGGCCGCATCGAGCCGGCCGTCTCTCAGGGCGAGCGCCGCATCCAGGGCCGTCTGCTGGACGAAGGGGAGCAGGGCGGTAACGATGAGCTGACTGACGTCGGCGGGCGTGGTTCTGAGAGCTAATCCAGCCGTGAGGTCGCTGGTGCTGGCCATGGGGAGCAGGGCCGTGGCGATGGCCTGGTTGACGTCCCCGGCCGTCTGCCGGGCGGCGACGTCGAGGGCCAGCTGGTCCACGACACTTTTGAGCGCATAAGTTGCGGCCACCGTGGCCAGCGTTGCATTGTTGGCGCTGGTCACGGCGCTGTTCATCGCAGCCGTGGTCGGATGGTTGGCGAGCTTGAGGTCCACGCTGGCCGGCGTGCTCTTAGAATCGACCTGGACCTGGAGAGCATCCAGGGCCGACTGGTTTGCCTTGGTGGCCAGGCCCTGGGTCAGGCTGGTGTTC